ATCCACCCATCACTGTGATCTCCATCAGAGGTTCTCTTATCAGCCAGATCCAACTGACTTGACCTACTCTATTGACATGATCTGAATTTCTCAAAATTGGGGTAGAAGAGAAGGCTAGGGGTGGAGAATGGAGTGTGCACCCTTTCACGGTGTTAATTGTTTTCTTTTCTCTCAATTACATTCATAAACCTCTTTTCTGCGTTGCATGTTATTTCTTTGTGTTTTAAAATTGAAACCACGTGCAGCCTTCTCTCCTTCGCACACACAATAAATGCACTGCCCCCTCCCCCAACCCATCACACAACTATTTACATCTTGGTTACTCACTCCAGCTCCGGACTGAAGAAGAAATTGGCCCCATGGGACAAGGTGAGGCTTTGTGAACGCATCTCTCAAATCCGTATCTCGGGTCCCTATCTCGGAGAGAGGCTCCTGGGGCCCCCTCCGGGGCCTCTCTCCCATCCCTTCCTCACACAGGTGGTTGAGGCTTAATCTGGGGATAGCTAGCAGGAAGGACATCCAGGGAGAAAGGCAGCGGTGTCCGGCCAGGCCCACCCGCTGCCCGCCCTGCACACTGGCCCGCCAGCTAGTGGGGGTCAACGGTGGCGGCCAGGGAGCCTCTGCCGCACCCTGGTCCAAGCACTCTGGGCACCGCAGAAACCCCGCAGCAAGCGGTTGCTCCTGGTAGAGCATTCCAGACACAGGTCTTCCCAGGCAAAGAAGTCCCACCATAAATAAATAGATAGATAGATGATAGATAGATAGATAGATAGATAGATAGATAGATAGATAAATAAATCAATCAATAAATAACTACTCCAAAGGGGGAAGGGGTGCTGGAAAATGGATTCGCTGACAGGGAGAGATAATAAATGAGAGGCGCTTTCAGATAGATATCTCAGACGTGAAATTGCGCCCAGCTGGTTGTGTAAGCAAACAAATAGTTTCATGTTAGGAACTCTCAACTTGTGGCTTGATGAATAGAACACGACAGAGGTAAATGGGTCTTTAACTCATTTAGGAATACAACTCTTTGGCTTTCCAAGTTAAAGGCCCAGTGACGCCACGGATCCCGAGCCGGCCCTCTTACAAGAGTTTTATTAGTTGCCACTGGTGTCTCCTGCATAGCCGCCACGCTCCTTCATGGTTTCCGGGTTCCAGACACATTCAGGTGATTTGTTCTGAGGGATGAGAGAAGCTTCTGGGAGGTCATTCCGCGAGAAAGGAGCGGTGGCCGCAGTGGAGAAGAACGATTTAAAATAAATAAAATAAAATAAAATAAAATAAAATAAAATAAAATAAAATAAAATAAAATAAAATAAAACTTTTGCATTCTCCAAGCGGACGAGATCAGGTGGATCCCCAGGGTCCCTGTATGCACAGCTGGTCGGTGGGGGCTCTGGGAGTCGACGAACCGAGACCCTTTGCGGCCCCAGAGACAGCTAGCCCCAGCCAACCCCGGAGGCAGAGCCCGGGAAATCCAAGGTTGTTCGCGTTGGCCCCTCACCCCGCCCTGCGACCCACCTCCACCCTCACCCCACCCCCCCTACCTCTGACAGGCCTGGGAGCAGGTTGGGGTGTGCGTGTAGGGCAAAGGTCATATTTTAACTCCCTCGCGCCAGTTCTAGTCCTGAGCGGTGGAAGAGGCACCGCCTCCCTCCCTAGAGATTCCCAGAGGAGAGCACGTCCCGAGATGGCCTTTTTGATGTTTTAAGCAAAGCTTGTGGCTAACGAACAGTAGTTTAAACCGACTTCAAAGCCCTTAAAGTTCTGGTGGCTCAGCAAGTGTTTCGGTTGGAAAAGGGAACGTTTGACTTTCATATGTCACAGGTAATTTCGAGAGGGAAGTCGTCTTGTGTGGGCCTCTCTCCGACTGTTCAGATGTATTTCCTCTGGCCCTGGGGGACCCGTCGGTTCTACCTTGCCCGGTTAACTCAGCCCTCCTCTCCCGACTCCCTAGGACTGAGGCTACCAGGCAGGCCAAGGAGGGGCTGCGTGCCCCAGGATGACCGGCTGGCCTCCACCTGCCTGCGGTCTCACACCGGGTTCCACGGCTCCCCCTGGCGCTTGGCTCCAAGGCGGGCGGGCTCACTGCTTAGGGGAGGGGGGGCTCCGGGCGGCCACCCAGGCAGAGACTCCCACCTGCTCCACCTCGCCGTCTGCCCAGTGGCTTCCAGGGTCTGAGAAGGCACAGAACACTGAGCGGGGGCAGCCCGGCCACGGCTGGAGCTGCCCCTCCTCACTGTGAGGATGTCCCGGGCCGCAGCCCACTGGTCAGCCCTGCCGGGCTGCCTGGAGATCGCCGGGAGCCCAAAGAAAGATTCCTGGTTGTCCGAAGGCTCATTCTGTGGCTTTGATGCCTCAATCTCGGCTCCTACAACTTCCCTTAGCGCGGTCATATTGAAGTCCCGACTTCACGCGCTGGGAGACACTCGGACACCGGCAGCCTGTACTGTGAGGCGGGAACACCCACAAGGCCTGAGTCCCCGAGAGTCTCTGTCTCTGGTTGAGCCATGCAGAGCCCTCTGAAGACGACTGTCTCTCTGTGTGCAATGCAGGCGAAGACTGCCCCTGCCACCACCCCCGCCACCACCACGGAGAGAGCAGAGGATAAACCCACTGCCCGGGTCCCCAGACCGCCGGCTGAACCCAGGAGCAGAGCGCCTTTCGTCCTCCGTTCAGCTCAGCCCGAGGGCCTCCTGGTTCCAGACTCAGCCTGTGGAGGACTCTGTGAGTCCATAGGATGGGCTGCTCCTCTTCCTACACTGGTCTGTCTCCGGGATTCCTAGGCAGCGGGCAGAGCCAAGTTAGTACTGTCACCTCTGGATCCTGGAGCAAATGACTCCTACAATTCAGGCCTCAGTTTCCAGGCCAGTCCCCACACTGTTTTCAACCAACGAAAATGTTTATCTATTTTCATCAGAGGGATCACACTGTAATGAATATATTTACATCTCATTTGAAGAAAAGCAGGAAAGACCAGTGAGCACTTGGCCACAGCTTGGCTCCCCTCCCCCTCTTCACCCTGGCTGTAGCCCACCCCACCCCAATCTCCACATTCTGCCATCAGCCACCCAGAGGACTACCTGGGAGGCCTAGTTAGTGGTGAAATATGAGTTCTCCCCATGACCCAACTGCCTTGGGTGCCCAACCTGCAGAGCAGCCACCCTAGGCACAAAGACATTGCTCCTGGGTGTGGTACAAAGGATGAGGGACATTTCTGAGTGGGACCAGTTGGAGGGCAGGAGGACCCCAGAGCTGAGGGACTCCACACCCCACACACCCTACCCACCCAGATGTCCTAGGGCTCAGGTGGGTCTCCAGGCAGGCTGGCTAGGGATCATGGACCTGCAGGGCTTCTCCATAGAGAGCATGGTATTGCCTAGACTGTGCTGCACCCAGAAAATAAAAACTTCAAGCTGGTTGGAGTGTAGGAGCTTGTTAATGCATGTTTAAATGAGTGGGGTGGGGACCTGGAGACTTCTAGACAGCAAATTGAAAGCAAAACTTTGCCAATTTCTTCTGAAAGTGAAGCTCTTGCCTCAAACGGGCCTGTTTGCAGCTGGGGGAGGGGGAGGAGATGAGAGGTGTTATTTTAAAAGATCTGGCTTTATTAATACCGTAAGAAAAAGCTCCCTTGGCAGTATGTGTTCTCACAGTGCCGACTGTGATCCTGTAAAACATTCCTGCTCTGAAAGCTGTTAGAGAGAGCAGCACTGCCGCCCCTAAGCACACCCAAGGAGAGGCCTGGCAGGAGGTTCTGCCTTGAAGGGGTCATAGGGCCCAAAACCCCTTCTGAAAAGAGCCTGCTCCAGCGTTGCTCCCCCACTCTCATGTCCCCCACTCTCACACCCTTCAGGGCCACCCAACAGACCTGGAGGGTCCTCCATGGACTCATCATAGGGTACGGGAAAGGGCAAATCATAGCCACTTCTTCAGCAGACCTTATGGGGAACAAAGCCAGGCATCCCAGCACTGAGGCCCCAACTCTCTCCCAGATCTAGGGAGAGGCCAGGCTTCCAATCACAGGCGGCATGAGGTGCAAAGGTGTTTGAGCAGCCCTTTCCCTCCCTCTACCCCACCCCCTTCTAGTGCTCCACAACCCTACAGCCAGGTAAGTTCCCACCTGCAATCAGGGCAGCAAGTGGTGCCCTGAGTGGCCCAGCCCACATGACCAGGCCTGCCCAGCCTGAGGCTCAGCTATGTGCAGGGCCTCTAACGGCCCACCACCCACAAGGTCCCATCAGATGCTGCTCGCAACCAAGGCTCCCTTCCTCCCTGACCACCACGGCCCATCCAGAGCCTGGCCCTCTGAATTTATAAAACTAAGCAGTGGCTTGTTTTAGGAAATACATCTAGCCAATTCGATAATGGACCTTATAAGTTCCCCCCTCTTAATAAGAATTGGAGTGGAGATTAATTAGAGCATTCTTTTGCACTGGTAACATCTATCAAACAACCAGACACGTGGGTTTTGCTAAATTCTTTTATTTTTGTTTAAATTTTCACTTCAATTTTAATTCTTGAAGAACAGCCTCGACAACATGTATCGCACTCATTATAAGAAGCAAAGGGTTATATCAAAAATTATTAGTATAGAATCACAGGAAATCTGGTTTGGAACCAGAAAAAAATACAAAACAGATATAGATACATAGACACAGGACAATTTTTTATAATTATTTGGAAAATGTTATTTTCCCCTAATTCTTGTTTTCTTTTTTATGTGCATACGATGTTTAAATTTTACAAAAAAATGAAAATAAAGACTAGTATCTTACAAAATGAATAACAATGTTTGGGGGTGCGTGTGTGTTTCTACATAGGATTCAGTCCACTTCCATGTGTTGTTTTCTGTACAGAATATATCCACATCCGTCCACAATAAATCCTGGAAGGTCCATTAGTCTCCTTCTGTTTTATTAAAATTCTCATGGTCCTCTCTTCCAAAGATTGTTTTCTTTTTCTCACCAGACACAAGGTCCTTTTTCTTTTCTTTTCCAATGTGTTCACAGATCTGATCCTAAAAGAGTCTCTTTTTCTCCTGGATTGCAGCTCGGGTTGCATTTATGTAGGGTGGGCTGCTCCTGCCTTCCCAGCCCTTCTCTCCCCTGCCCAGCCTGCCCAGCACGCTGCACCCTGCATCAGCTGCCCGGTGTCCACCAGGCTTTGGAGTCCATGGCCCCCGCTGGTCCTCTGAGTCTCTAAATAGGTGGGGGCAGGTAGGAAGTGCCCAAGGTCTAGGAACACTGGATGGACATGTAAGGCCAGTTGAAGCTGCTCCCAGACAGTAACATATCACGGATGAGAGTTTCGATGGGGGTTTTACCTACCAAACGAACGAAGAACAGCTGCTCAATGACTGAGGAGGACACCGTGCGCAGCGAGGGCAGGCGCAGTAGCAGTTTGCCGAAGCGGCTGGGCTGGTTAGGGTACTGGCTCCTCACATACTCCTCCAGCGCACACTGCGACTTCTCCTGCAGGCTCTCGATGTGGGCGGCATCTGACAGGCCACAGGCATCTGCCCAAGCAGCCACAGGAAGGAGAGACAAGGGGAGGGGGCACATGGTTAGGTCAGCGAACAGCAAAGGCACAAACAACAAGCCACTAAAATAATATTTTTTTGAGGAGAAAAGGACAAAAAAAAGAAATAGAAGAAAAAAAAAATCCACACCTCCATACTTCCCCACTCCTTTTCTACCAGCCCCCAATACAAATAAAATATCAAACCCCCACCAAGCCTAGTGGAGCTGGAGAGAGAAGCACATACATGCAGAGGCAGCAACCACTCTAGTCCCTTTGTTTTGCCTCTTTCACCTTTGGATTAAATAATGTACGATGCTGGAGCCATGTTTGCTGTGTGTAGCAACCTGTCCTCTGCCTGCAGGGGAGCATCCTTCCATTGTGCTCATTAAAAGGAGGACTTTCCCCCATTTTCCCTTGATTTCGGGGTATTCAGGAACCCTGAAGAAATATGCAGCCTGAAGGCAGTTCTTAGAGTCCCCCTCTTAACAAATGACCCCAACCGGAAACCTTAAGAACCTGGACTGTGTAGAGAACAAATATGTAAGAGCAGGTAAGGAATCATGGGCTGGCAGTGCCTGGAATAAGATCAAGCCCATGCTTTAGCAATAAAAGATATGAGATCCACTATCCATGCAAGCAAGAACTCTGCAGCAAATCCTTGGTGAGAGTGTACACTTCTATCTGTGCCTTAGATCAAGTAATTGAAAATTGGTTACATCTCTGTAAGCTGTATAATAATCAGGAAGAATATGGCTCAGTTACTCCAGGCTGCAGAAAGGAGACATCCTCAATGATCAGACACAAAGCTGGGCTAGAGGCAGCAGCAGCTGCTGCTGCTGCTTCAAAACTGGAAGGTGGGGAGTTAAGGAGGGATTTGGGGAGATAGGCTTCCTTTATAGGACCAAAGGAAAAAAGGCACCTACACACAATGACAGCATCTCAAAACCTGTGTGTTTATCTAACATCAACCAAGGCTCCTCTTGTGCTCCTAAAAATATTTCAAGACAGCAGTTTATACTATGTCAACTAACTAGAGGTGAGCAAATGGAGGGAATGGTGGAATCAGCGGAATGAACTGAAGTCTTCCTCTTCTAGTTCAAACACCTGTGTTGTTCCTTATATTAATAATAAATATTTTAAAAATAGGAAGATCAGAGAGGAGCCCTTAGCCAGTCAGGAGGTTGACTAGAGATCAAAGGCAGAGTTTGCTAATATATAGATCTGGGAAAAGATTCATGCATGGTGATGCCCCCAAAAGACATTATCTATTTGTGAATGGGCAAGTAAGTGTCACCCTAAGAAGACATAGCAAATGATTCAAAGTGAAACCCTTGTCTGCTGAGTTTATGAGCTTTATGTCTTTATATTTCAAGAACTGGGATTTACAAAGCATTCTAACACCTTCATCTACAAGGCTATGGCCTTGAGCAAAAATACAAATAAAACTAGTGATAATTCAAGAACTTCTGAGGCAAGTCTCCTTTGACCCCAGATCCAGACTGGGTTCCTTTCAGATGTCTAATTACTCCAGCCAGCTGCTTGGGTGTACCCACACCAGCCTGACTTGGGAAATCAGTCAGGTTTTATAGCTAGCAGGGCGAGGGCAGAGGCACTTTGGAGCTTTGCTCCTTAGAGAGGGGACCTTGAGGTCTGCCCTCGGCTCTGCTTGCTAACCTGGCTCTGCTGAATGGCCACCATGCAGACTCATATTTACATATATCTTGCTTTACATGCATTATCTGACCATTATGCCACAGGATCCCTTTCAGCCCCAGACAATGCAAAATGAAAAGGACCCACTGATACTCCAGCAGATTTTTTTTTTTGAAGACCCATATGCCATTCCCTCAGGTCCGTAAAATATTTATCTGATATTTACGATTAGGGTCCCCAGAGAGCAAGGTCACTCCCCTTCTCCCAGATAGGCCACTCCGATGGAGAGAAGTCCAAGAAAGTCATGCTTGGGCCCTGTGCTGGCTGCTTTGATATCTTTCCTCCTTTGAAGGCAGAAAGCCTATAGCTCAGCCGGACTTTCAGGTACCATGCGGCAAGCCCTGTGGCCTCTCTCCAGCAGAAGCCCTAGTTTGGGCCTGACTTCCCGGTGTAGATAGTCATTCCCACCGGATATTGCTGCAACAGGATTCCCCCAACTGTGGACAGACGCATGAGCTCTTAGATGGATTAGGTGGTTGTGGTAGCAAAGCTAGGTGAGCAGGGGGTGTAATGTAGTCCATATTTATACTCCATGAGTTATATACACCCCAGATAGGAAAAGGAGTCAGAATGTGCAAAATACATGTCTCGCTTTTTATATGGTAGTGTCAGTGTGGGAAATCTCAATATTTCTTCTACAGTATATGGAAAAGAAATTATGTAAATAAATAACCATTACTGTTCAGGCCCTCCTGGCTTAGCCTTTGTAGTGCAGAGAATGTATTTCATGTTGTGCATTCAGAAGAGTTTAGTGTTCAGGAAATATAGATGTAATCAGCTGCCATAACTAGAAATCAAAGTTATTATTGTACTGAAAATTGATTTATTGTATTTATGTTAACTAGATGGCTCCTTTCAGGGAAGGTCTCATTTATTTGAGGGAATATTTAGGTGTATGAATTAATGAATTTAAAAAAAAGTAAGTTCAGGTCATGACCTAGTCTTTGGATGCTGTCCAGAATATTAAGGATTAAGCATACCATCCGGAGGCCAAATGTGAAAACCACCACAGGGAACCCCCATGCCAGCTTCAAATGCTTAACCGGAGCAAACCTCATTGGACAATATGTCTAAAACTGTCTTTTCCATCATTCAAAGTTTGCTCAAAAGTTGGATGACTTTGAGAAGGCTTCCCATGAATTCCCTTCTGGCTGGCAATCAAAACAAGTTTAGTCAAAAGTGGAAACGTGTTGTATGAAAGAGGGGGGTGAATTACTACTGACAGCTCTATTTCCATTTTCAGATATTCTGCTTGCAATTTTCCAACAAAATAATGTTATTGTTCACTTCTCGGCCTCCCTTGCACCTTGGACTAGTCAGTTGAAGAAACTTCTTTGGGGAAACTTTTTTTAAAAAAGAAACACTTTTCACAGGAATGTTTTAGGATGAAAAGTTGAAAGAAAAGCTAAACAATTCCACAATCTTCTCTGCAGCATGCACAGTCCTTGCTTCGCTCTGGAAAAGGGCAGGAGATCAGCAAAGTCAAGGGGGTTCAAAGAACCTTAGGGAGAACAAGGAAAAGGGAGGGAAGACCTTTCTTGAGAAGACCTCTGTCCAGCTCCAAGTTCCATTTCTGTTTCAAGACATCTCACTGGATGAGATTTTAAAACCCCAGCTTCCCTGACACTGGCTTGCTTCCTGATTAATTTGGCTCAAGAGCCGGGTAGTGGAGAGCCAGCCAGGCCCCAGGCCTGCCAGAGCTAAAGCAGCCTGGTCATTGCTTCCCAGGCTCTTTGTCACTTTTGAAAAACACGTTTCTATCAAGAAGACTTATTAAGATAAAATGCATTCAAACACCGAGGAGGCTATTCAATAAATCTTCCATTTGTTTTAAGGTTCTCACTTTATCCTCTTGCAAAGAACTACTCCCTCTCCCACTAGCAGCCCTGTATTTGCACTGAGAGTAAAAGGGGGGCAGTCCAAGTCCACGGCTCTGGCCACCCTGCATACAAATGAGATGGTCTTGTCTAAATAAATTATCTGCTGTTCAGATCGATATTAATACTACATTTGCTACATTACAATATTGTGCAAATTTAAGAGTCATTTTAATACAATGTAAATATGATTCTTCACGCATGAGAGCCAAGAAATATTGATAGATTATACCACTGCTTACTGTTCAACAAGGCCTTGGAAAAGGATTTCACCATCTTTGCTCAAGAATGGTTTTAATTTGGACTTTGGGTATCCTGGTTCTAGGCTAGATTTATTAGGATAGTTTATTTGTTCTCTGAATGGAGAAATTACAAACAATAGTTCCAATAATGGAGGTAAAACTGCAGCTAACCCTACTTACAGTGGGCAAGGCCAAGACCCAGTCTGAGCAGCTCTGTTCCCCACCAATGTCCCTTCTGGCTTTGTTTATGTTTCCCCCATTACCTGCTGTCCCGGGTGTTTATATGTTTCCCTCTTGCAGGTTACAATAATAAAAAAGGCGGGCAGTGTTCTCAGAGGCTTAGACCAGAGCCTTCAAAGGCAACGTTAATGCACTTTCCTGGAAGTTAATTTGAACCATCTATCATAAGAGAAATTGTTAACATGCATGTTACCACCGCCTACATTTAATTTGATATTTTTAAGGCACTCTGTTAAATTTCCGATGTTCGAGTGTTTTGCATGGCGATGAGATTTATCTCCCGGGCGGGAATCCTACCATACTTTCGGATTCTACAGTATTGCTTTTGTTTTTATCTTTCTTGTTTAGATCGAATCCGTTTTTTACGACCCTCAATAACCTCAGCAACTGCAAACATGAATGGTTTCCGATAAGGGAAAATCAGGCAGCAATAAAGCGGGATTATTTATGATTTACTTGTGCGTATTCTTCTCTTTCCACCTGTGTGTATATGTGTGAGTGTGTGTGTGTGTGTGCGCGCGCGCGCGCGCACCTCTATGTTGGGAAACTCATCCAGGGAGCGTGCCACACAGAGGAGAAAGCCACATTCCCACGTTCTTTTCCTTCCTTCTCCTCCCCCAGAAGCGCTGAGCCCTGGCACGCAAACACACGCACACACACGCAAGCACACCGCACACACGGGCAGCAGACGGATCCACAGCACCGCCTCCCCCACCAGACACGCACCCGTAGCTGCGGAGGCCGGGTGCGGGGGCCCAGGCCGCTAGGCCCGGCCACCGGCTCGCAGCCCGCATCCGCGCCGCCTCGTCTCCCGCACTGCCACGCTCCCAAGATGGCAGCTGCGCCGCGGGCCGCGTCTGGGCGCAGGGCCGCAGGATTCGGCCAGGCCCGAGGTCCCACGAGGGCACGGCCGGCCGGCGCGGCGGCGGCCCTGGAGGCCGGGCCCGGGGAGAATGGAGCCTGCGGTGGCTCCTGGCGCGGCCTGCCCTCCTAGCGACCGCAGTCTCACCTGACGTGAACAGCACGATGGCTTTGAGGCAGCTGTACTCGGCCGAGTCGACGTGCAGCGCTTTGAGCTTCTCCACTTGCTCCTGGAATATGCGGATGTGGTCCATGAAGGCCACGACGCGGTCGGCGGACATGGGTGAGGCGTGCAGGCCGGCGGCGGCCAGCAGCGGCGCCACGTGCAGCGGCATGGAGCACTGGGCCGCGTTGAGCACAAACAGCTCGCTCCAGGTGAGGCGTAGCAGGGACACCTGGTCGGTGATCTGCAGATCCGGGAAGAAGGGGATGTTGCGGGCCCACTCGACGGCGCTGAAGAGCAGGCGCGCGGCCAGCTCGCAGATGTTCTCGATGCCCATGATGTTGTTGGGCTGCATGCATTGGCTGCCGTAGCGCGACGTGGGGTAGGGCTCCGCGCGCAGCAGCAGAGAGATGTAGCCCGACAGGTAACAGTGGCCGTTGAGGGGGTCCCCGTTGGTGAGTGCGTACTGGCCTGGATTGGGTTGGGTTGGAGGCATTCTTCCTCGCTGAACCGCTGACGAAAAGAAAGAGAGAAAAGAGGCAATGTGCATCCAGGGGGCTTGCGAACATCGCCGCGCCGCAGAGCACCCCACACAATGCGGGGGCTCTTCCCGCAGCCACACGCTCCCCGCGCATTTTCTCTCGCTTTCACAGCCGGCACCAAGAGGAAATGTGGGGTGAGGCCCTTCAGCTCCGCGGGTCGAAATGCTCAGCCGTCGCCTGCACACCTGGCCACCCCAGCCCTGCCAGAACTAGGCCTGACTTCAGGGCTCCCAGGCCGGCCAGAACCAAGAAAGTATCACCCAAACCCTCCACCACCAAGGAGTAACACGCAAATCAATGAAATCCCACTCACCCCTCCAGAGTGAAACAAATCAGGGTAGAAAATAAACAGGAGAAACCAGAGAAAGGTTGAGGTTCTAGGCAAATGCCTAGCTGCCTCTTCATTTGCAAGCAAGCAACATTTTGCTCAGAACGTTTCCATATTCTCTAAAAATGCCATAGAATTATCCTTAAAATAGATAAAAGTTACATACACTACTAACCACTTACAACTTTTCAATAGAAAACGAGTATCTTGCACCCCTCCCCTCTCCCCTCCTCCCCATCGCCCCCACACAAAGTTCTCACTGTTAAAAGCAACAGAAAATTGAAAAAAATTTCAAGAATAAGTTGAACTTACAGTAGCCAAACATTATTGAAAAAAGTGGGGAATATAATTAATGTCTGTCCTGCGTGGTGCCACTGCAACCTGCAGCCAGCTTTTGCCCAGTGAATGCACGAGCTTGCAACTGCAAAAACACTGGATTCATTAACCATCTGAATGCAAAACGTAAGCATGCTTTGAGTTCTTAAAGCTGACCAAAGTTTTTTTTTTTTTTTTTTTTTTTTTTTAATGTGTATGTTTTACTTCAACAGTGCCAGCGTTTTAAATTGCCATGTAAACAGAGACAACTTTAGGAAAAGTTAGGGCTACTGAACTATCCTCTCAACAAATTAATATAGATATGTCCATGTACACGTAGCTGTCTTATTTCAGGTTGTGCACTGTTTTCTTAAGTTTGCTTTGATTCTATTTTTAATGCAACCCCCAATGCAATTTCAGCTCTTGAAACATAATGGCTAGAATACTTTTTTTCTAATTATAGTTTTGAACTTGGCAGTTATTTTTCAATTAAATGAGAGTACAATTCAAAGTTGTTTTTTTTTTTCCAGATGCCTACAAAATCTCCCTGGAGCTAGAAATGAAGTCGTCATATTTGCCTGCTCTTTGAGATCTGAAGGAATTCAATTTCTTTTCCTGTGGCATATAAAATATAATTTTAAAGTCAATTACAAGAAGGAGTAATCTGCATTCTGCAAAATTGACTGGTTCGCTAATTTGACTATAAGACATCTTTAATGATTGTCAGGAGATAAACTTTAACTGTAAATGGCTAAATATATTTATAAGAAAAGTGCTGCATCTCTTGCCACATGAACATGAAGCATATCTAAATACAACATCAAAAGTTGTGTTAAAAGAAACCAAAGCCATACAACACAGAGATTAAATGATGTGGAAGCTCATGCCAGCTGCAGTCTATGCATTATAGCCAAATCAGAAGGATCAGTAAAAGCCGTTGTAAATTGTAATTTGTATGCAGTATTTAAGCAGAGGGTGGAGTTTGATGAAGAAATAAAATGAGTATCATGCTTTTTAAAAAATGACACAACTATGAAAGCTCGGTTCACTCACAAACTTTCCTTTCAAAGTAGAGGGGTGAAAACAAGGCCACAGCTCTGGAGGAGGCGGCCCCAGCTCCGTGAAGAGGAGAGGGAACCAGTGAACAGGCCAGAAGCCCCCCCTTTCTCCCCTAATTAGACCTACAAGTGCAATAAATCTCTCTCCTCTTTTTCCATGCTAAGCTTCCAAAAGGATGATGCAGCAATGAATCTACTCAGGGTACTCCAGTCCCCAGCCCTCCCCCATTTTAAATAAAGGGAAGGAAGAGGTGGAGGGGAAAGTAGGATGCAAAAACACAGAAACAGAGTTTTCTGGGGGAAGTAAGCACCCCTCCCCAAGTTCATGCTAGCATAGACCCAAGCATCCTCACGCACACGCGGAAAAGACAAATATATCGAGCACATCCAAGACAGGGGAAGGAAGGGGATTTTAAGCCACAGCTCACGATTCCCGGGACACAATCCTGAGCAGGCATCGAGAGGGGTGGAGGAGCCAGGGAGAGGAGCGCAGGCCGGGAGGGGGAGGCAGCGGCAACGAGCTGGGGGGGGGGGGGCGCCAGGGGGAGGAAGGCAGCGGGGACAGGGGAAGCTGGGATGGGCCAGGGCCAGTACTGCAGGAGCCCCAGCCCCATACTGCAGCCACCCCCGTGAGAGAAAGAAAGAGGGCCGAGAAGGCGGGCAAAGCTCAGGGAGAGAAGCAGAGAAGAAATATTCACCTTCCCGCCTCATGCCCACTTTGAGGCACTTCTTGAGGCGGCAGTATTGGCACTGGTTGCGGTGGTGCTGGTCGATGGGACAGTTCCTGTTGGCACGGCATGTGTAAGTTAAGTTCCTGCGGACGCTCCTCTTGAAGAAACTTTTGCAGCCCTCGCAGGTGAATTGGCCGTAGTGCTTGCCGCTTGACTTGTCCCCGCACACCACGCACTCGATGTGTTGCTGGCTCTGGCCCGAGCCGGGCGGGCCCTGGCCCTTGTCCCCTGCCGTGCCGGGGGTGGCGGGCGCTCCGGGCTGGCCCGGGGTCTGAGGAGTGTGCGGCGCGCCCGAGCCTGCCTGCTGCTGCTGCTCCCCGCCGCCGCCGCCGCCGCGGGCCGCCTGCGCTGCGGGGTTGGGGCCGCTGGGGTTGCCCCCGGCCACGTCGTCCTGCGGATCTCGCCAGCTGCTAACTACCATTGCCATATCTTTGGGCCCGGGGAGCGCTGGGGGGAGCCGAGCTGCTCGCCGAGGGCCGCGGGGCGCGCGGGCGCGCTGGGAGGGGAAGGGGAAGGGGAAGGGGGGAGGGGGAGGGGGCGGGGGGCCCACCGGGCGCCCCGGGGTCGCGGGAGCCGAGCCGGAGCCGGGCACCGGCCGCTGCCTCCGCCGCCGCCGCCGCCGCCGCCGCCGCTACTGCCTCGGCCGCCCCGCTGCTGCTGAGCGCCCGCCCGCCCGCCCTGCTGGCGTTTTGTTGTGGTTCCTGCTGTTTTCTTTCTCTCTTTTTGCAGCCCCCCCAGGCTCTCAGGCTCCCCCCCCGCAACACCCCTGCTCCCCTCACCCGCTCCCCCCGCACTCCGATCCTGGGGGGGCCACGCTCTCCTTCCCCCCCTCCCCACCCCCCCAGAGAGCAAGCTCCCTTCTCTCGCTTTTTTCTTCTTCCCCAAGTTGCAAAATCAGAAATGGCACAGGCGGCAGCCGGGAGCGGCGCGGGGCGCAGCGCCGGGGGCGGCGGGCATGGGCCACAGCGCGCGCACACACTCGCCCTCCGCCTCGCCCGCACCCCCGCGCACACACACACTCGCACACACACTCGCTCACCCGCGCCAGGCGCCCGCCCGCCCGTCGGCCGCTCGGGCTACGCGCTGAGCGCGGGCTGAGCCGACATAGAGGAAGACCGCGAGGGCGGCGGCGGCGGCGGCGGCGGAGAAGGAGGTCGCGGCTGCAGGCGCCGCTGGAGCCGCCGCCTCAGCTGCAGCGGCGAACGCCGCTGGAGGAGCTGGGGCCGGGCTGGAGTCCGAGCTGGAGTCGGGGCCGCAGCCCCAGCGCGAGCTCGGGTCGGGGCCGCCCGCGCCGCCGCCGCTGTCCCGGCGGGAGCCCTCGCTGGGCTCGGGATTGAGGGGAGTGCGGTGAGCCGAGCGGGGCGCGGGGCAAGGCTGCTGGCCGAGATCAGGGCGCGCTGGTGTCGGGGGGCCAGGTCCAGGGCCGGACGCTGCCAGCCATTCAGGAAGGCAGAGCTGGAGAGCGGGAGGCAGCCGGCGAGGAGGATCACACACTTTGCTCTTTTTGTTGTGCCTGTGGCGCCGGGCTCTCGCCTTCTTCTTTCGGGAGGTGACGGAAGGGGAGAAAAATACGAGATAATTCACGCCGGCGACGAATTCACAGCGAAATAGAAAAAATAAAAATCAGAAGAAAAAGAATTGGGGAAAAAAAAAAGCGAGAGAGACATCCAAAGTAGGTCGAATAAATAATCCTCTTCTTTTCCTCTTTCTTGCTCCTTCTTCTGCTTCTTCTGCTATAACACACAGAGCTAGTTAAAAAAACCCTGGAGATCGCCCAAAAATGTTCTTTTTTTAGTATTTTAAATAAGTGCTCTTCAGCCGGGAACCAACACCCTCCCTCCAAAAAAAATCATATATGTATAAAATAACGATAAGAAGAATACGAAGGGGGTGCCTCCTCCTTTTTTTTTTTTTTTTTTTTAAGTTTAGCCTTCTCTCTTCTGCAGGAATGAACTAAAACAGACAAGGAGGAGGGAGAAAAAGGAGAGAGAGAAGAAGAATACGGGAAACAACTAATAGGATATGTAAGAAAAGAGAAAAAGAGAAGAGAGCAAGGGAGAGAAGAGAGAGATTGAGAGATTGAGAAAGAGAGAGGCAGAGGAGGAGGAGGAGAAGGAGGAGGAGGAGGAGGAGGAGGAGGAGGAGGAGGAGGAGGAGGAGAGAGGAGAGAGAGAGAGAGAGAGAGAGAGAGAGAGAGAGAGAGACCCCAAAATTGAATGCGTTTAAACGGGAGGACTCGCAGAGCAATGTTTCCGAAAGGGGGATCTGCGCGAATGTCTGTATATAGTGAACTTTGACACTACTATTGAAACTGACACGTTTCTATGGAGATCGCTGCCTTATATGGAGCTCATGTCAAGGAGCCAGGAGAAGGGCTGCTGGCAACTGATAATCAAAGGCGACTGACTGGTCAGAGCCCTGAATGGGAGGGGGGGAGAGAAAATGGGAGGCTAAGGTTAGCCATGCCTCCTGCACGCCATTGGTTGGAGAGCCCCTCCCCCCTTCTCTTTTTCTTTCTTTCTCCCCCCTCCCTCTTAGCTACCTACTGACGGGGATGGTGAGGGGAGGAGGAGAGAAAGTGAGGGAGGGGGTGTGCTTCTGACAAGCGCAATTTACATTGAGATCGCCCTGCGCTGCTATTTACTCTGAGACCTGATTAGTATGGGTCGTCTATGGTCACACACACACACACACACACACACACACACACAGTCATACACGAACACCAGAAGGGGGAAGGGATGGCGAAGGAGAGAATGCCTTGCAATGTGCAAATTAGAAGGAAATTATGTTGATTTCTTCTGAAAAGTTTTTAAAATTAGGTTTTGTGAGCTTGAAGAGAGTGTCATCGAAATGTTAGAAATTTTTTAAATGGGAATTTAACTCTCACCATTTTAATGATTCGTGAAATACACTGGGTTTGAATTGTTTTCTTCTCTCACACATAAGCATAATCCAAGTGTGGATTGTGCTTATTTTATATCCTTTTAAGAAATGAGGTAGATAGGGACCCCCTGTTTTTTGGTCTGAAACATAATTTGATTTTAAAGGTTTAATTACGACAAAACACTCGTGGAATTTGCAGCTATTGCCAGGAAATCAATCCGAATTCAACGGTTCCTATTGATCCCAAAAATGATTTTTAAAATAAACTTTCCAATCAATTTTATTTTTCCTTCTTCTTTCTTTTTCTCCCTCTTTGGTATCCTCGGGCTGTTCCAAACTCCAAACAACGCTTCAGTAATTATTAAGAAAACAGTAGTAAGCCCTCATATTGTTGGGGGTGGGGTGGGGAGGTTAGTGCGGCCGAGTTAGAGTCCCAGAGAAAGAGGAAAAGGGCGAGTGAAGAAGGGGAGAAGATGGAAGAAGTGAGGGAGAGTGGGGAAGGGAGAGGGGCGTTGGAAGAAAGAGGGAGGGAGGGGGGAGGGAAGGGGAGAGAGAGAGAGGGAAAGGAAGAGAGGAGAGAGAAAGAGGGAAAGGAAGAGAGGAGAGAGAAAGAGGGAAAGGAAGAGAGGAGAGAGAAAAGGAGGGAGGGAGAGAAGAGAGAGAGAGAGGAGAGGGAGGAGAGAGAGAGAGAGAGAGAGAGAGAGAGAGAGAGAGAGAGAGAGAGAGAGAGAGATTCCCAAAGGCGATTGGTCGCGGAAGAAGGTGCGGGAGGGAGAGGAGCCGGTCGAGCCACGGGCCTGCAGAAATCGCTGGCTCCGGCTGCCACCTAGCGGACAGGAGCCGCGCCCCCGAGGCGCACAGCCGGGTCCTTCCTACCCTCTCTGCAGGCAGCCTGTGCCTTTTCTCCAAATGAAGACAGCACTTTGAAAATTCTTTCAATGGATTTTTTTTTTTTTTTACTTGAAAGATCGTACTGGGGGAAAATGATACTTCTATTAGTTACATATTCTCCAATAGCACACTCGCACCCCCCTCGTTTTGGGATCGCTCCCCTAGGCAGGCTCAGGCGGGCGCGGAGTGGCGCGGCGTGACAAAGCCACCGCTGCTGCTGCTGCTGCTGCTGCTGTCACCGCCACCGGGGGTGCGAGCCGCGCTCGCCCGCCCGCCCCTTTACTCGGGAGAGCGTAAAAGTTTGTCTCATCTCCCGCATCCCGAGCCTCAACAAGCCCTCAGTAAAGGTGGGAGTAAATGGCCACGCTGTATTGACAGAGGTAGGGTTTATTTTTAAATACGCGTTCTCACTTTAAATTTCACCAGGGAGGGGTTTGGGAAGCGCTGCGCTTTTGGGGTGCGTTTTGCGCTTCCCGGTCTCTCCAGTCTACAAGTCGGGAGTTGGCGATCGTTTAGTGAGGAGAGACGATTTTAAAGAGCAGAATAAAGGCTTTTCTGTGCCTGCCCCACAGCCCCTCCAGCTCGAATAATGGAGAGACAGTCATGCAGTCTGCAAGCGGCGGCCCATTGTACGCAGCTGATGGAGAGGAGGCGACTGGGGCCAGCAGGGGCTCCTTGCCCTTGTTCCTCTCCCCAAATAAACGCGCTCACGTCTTCTGGTCAGTTAAAAGGTGAAACGAACACGACCAAAAAAAAAAAAAAAGAAAAAAGAAAGAAAGAAAGAAAGAAAAAAGGAAAGACAACAAGAACCAGCTTTCTATATATATATATATATATTCCTAATTTTACTCCTTATATATACAGTACAGAGACAAGGAGTCGAGGGCAGGCAGAGGAAGCAGGCAGAGAGGGAGACAGAGAGAAAAGGACAGAGAACAAGGAGAGAGACGGAGCCAGTGGAAGAGGAGGCAAGAGCGAGCGCCAGGGAATTGAAGGTCCGCTGGACGCCGGGTCCTCAGGCCCAGCCGCCTTCGGACCTTGGACTGTGAGTCGTGGGCACCGGAAGCAAGACTGCCAAGTCCTGCCCCACCAGGCAAGTAACGCAATGATAATTGTTTCTTTTGAACTCGGGGTCGGCAAAGCGGGCAGGCCAGGAGGCAGCCTTGGCTCGAATGGACTCTAGGCCGGGGCCAGAGTCCAGGCAGCCAGGCCAGGTCGAGGAGAACTTTCCGCGGGGCCTGCTCGGAGATGACCTCACCCATCCTCTGCCCCGCAGCTTGGAGGCAGGGAGAGCGGCGGCCGCGCCGCCGTGGAGCTGAGGATCGTGCACCCGAGCGTTAGTCCAAATTCAAAACAAGTCTCCCCAACCCCCTTCCTCCACCCTCCATCCCTGCCTGGTACGGGCTACGGGGTCTCCAGCGCGGGGGGAGGGAGGGGCAGAGGACAGCGGAACAGCAGATTTTTCACCCGCGCCGCCGTCCCCGCTGGTGCCGAGCTCGAGCCGCGGTGGAGCCGGCGAGAGTCCTGCCGGGCTGGCCCTGTTGCCCGCACGTTGCCTGGCTGTGATCAGGGCCTGGCGAGCTCGGCTCCTGCCGCCCACCTGCGGGCGCCGTTGGTAATGGGATCCCCTAACGTAACGCGATCGATGGCTGCCTGTTTGATGTGGGCGATAGTGTCAGCGGATTAAAAGGGTCACCAAGCCGCTCTCCCCAGCAGAGAACCCGCGGCAGCAGTGGTGGTGAGAGAGCACAAGATCCGCAGTCCTACAGGCCAGCCAGACGCATCGCCGGTAGCAAGAGGGCTGAGGGCGGGGAGGAGGTTCACCTCCCAGGGGTGGGGACCGAGGGGGCGTGTGTGAAAGGAAGAGCCTGAATTAAAACCAACGACAGCGCTTTCTTCTGCGCGGGGCAGCGGCGCGCGTTTGCGTCAGAGGGCGCGCAGGGCGGGCGCGGGGGGCGGGAGCAGCAGACGCCGGGTGCAGCACCCCGGGGCTTGGTGGGCGCGGGAATGAACCAGCCAAGCAAGGTTGGCCTCGGTCGGGCCAAGCAGGCTGGGGGCGACGCCTGGCAGGAGAATGAGCGGAAAGTTCGCCGGAATGGCGACGCCCACTCGCCCTCGCTGTGAGCTCTTCCTGGCAGTCTGCACACGGAGCTTCCAAATTTGGAAGAGGCTCTTGGGGTCCAGCGTGACCGTGGGGATGGAAGAAGCGGAGCCCTCGCTCCTCCCGAAGGAAGGGGAGGAGGGGTACAGCCCCGGCCCTAATACCGGAGGGTGTATGCTGTTGGTGGTGGTTCGCGGAGCAGTGAAAACCCTCGGCTTTTCCGAGCAGGGGAACAAATGCGCTAACTTTATGTCACAAAAGAGGGCAGGAAGAAACCTAAGCTTTTTGAGGAGAGGCGCTGTGTCCCCTCATGGGACTTGTCCAGCCCAAGCGTCACGCAGGGCTCAGTGTCTCTTCCTGACCTCGTTTTCACACCCGCAGAGCGCCTCCACTGGTGCTCACAGTCCCACCAGCAAAATGGCTTCCGTGGAGGGACTGAGGGGTCCTGGAGACACCCAGAGAGTTCTGGTTTAGTCCCCACAAGGCTTTCGTTTGTTACTGGCTCAACTTGGCACACTGGTCCTAGGGCCTGATGCTCCTCCACACGCTTAATCAGGAGATAACGACACTCTTTTTCAGTAGGGCACCCAATAGAAAAGTGATCATATTTTGCGGAAGCATCTAGGTCCCCAAATTGTAAAATTTCAAACACTTGTCCAGGCACGCTCAGCTGCAGAAGCAGAAATCGCAGTTGCAATTTCCTCCCATCTTTCACCCGTCCTCTCTTCTCCAGATCTCTCTCCCTTCCTTCTCGCTCAAGCGAGACCTTTGACTGAATCTCAGCCTGTGGACTTGGCTATTGGACCCAGGCCCTCTGTGGCTCTTTCCACAGCACCCTACGTGAGACTGCCAGACCTTTTCGGCCACATATACTTGGCTTTCTCCAAGGCTGCTGCTTCTGAGGGCTAAGGACCAGAAAAGCCTCGGCAGGGCCTGGACTCTTGGGCCTCCCTTCTCAAGTCTTCCTCTGCCTTCCTGTTCCCTACAGGCCAGTTCAGTGCACACAAAGTCTCCAGTGTGGTTCACCCAAGAAAGGAAGACCAGGTAGCCCTCTCTTGGGAGAGAGGAATCAGGCTCTATGCTTACAATGCCCCTTTCGGATTGAAAGCACCATGGCCTAGCCTTAATCACCGTTTAAAAGACCTTCCACACAACCCTTGATCTCTCCTCGCTTGACAGCCAGTAAACAGCTGTGTTCTGGTGAGAGAAGGAGAGAAGCAGAGATCTGTGGCTGCACATAT